GCAGCAGCCATTGTACTCGCTTTTTGTTGATTTCATCAAAGTATTTGATACAGTGAACCGCGAGGTATTGTGGCTGATGTTGGGTAAGTTTGGTTGCCCGCGTAAGTTTGTAAGTTTAATTGAATGTCTGCACAGTGGTATGCGAGCGGGGGTGCAGCTGAGTGGAGAGACCTCTGATGACTTTACAGTTGTCTCTGGTGTGAAGCAAGGCTGTGTGTTAGCTCCTGCCCTGTTTAATATATATCTTCATGCAATGTTGTCTTGTGCTTTTGATGCGGCTTGTGCTTACGGTGTTCGTGTGAAGCACCATATTGATTGTGGGTTTCTGAACATCCGTCGTTTCAGTGCGAGAACCCTAGTCTGTGAGACAACTATCCGTATGCTGCTGTTTGCTGACGACTGTGCGTTATTTGCACACAGTGCGGATGAGTTGCAGCACATGACTAGTGCTCTGGCTTCGATAGCGACCAAATTCAGGCTCACCATCAACACAAGCAAAACTCATAAGTAGCAGGATTTTTAGGTGTAAATCTCATAAGGCTTTCATCCCAACAGTTCACAAACTACATAGCAGAGCCTAGTCCGGAAAAGCGCCAGATGAAAGCCTTATCAGATTTACAACAAGCAAAACTGTCTGTCTCTTTCAGCCTTCACCGGAGGTGCAATTTGTAATGTTGCCGTAAATCAGCATTAGTGACGAAATATTGGAAAGTAACTCCCGATTCTGACCAGCAGATACACAGTGAGCTGCGTATCCGCGTCTCAAAAGCAGTGGCGGCATTCGGGAAGCTAGAGTATCGAATGTGGGATAAGTACCTGCTTACCGTTGGCACGAAGCTGGTGGTGTACAAATCCATGGTGCTGTCCGTTCTTCTATACGGCAGTGAAACGTGGACGATGTACCGTCGGGATGTGCGATATCTCGAGCGGTTCCATCAGCAGTGTCTGCGACGAATTTTGCGCATCGGTTGGGGCGCCAGAGTTACAGACACGGAAGTGTTGCGCCGAAGTGGGATGTATGCAGTGGACTGCATACTTTTACTGCGACACCTGAGATGACTCGGTCATGTGAGCCGTGTGGATTCGACGCGGATACCCAAGCAGCTGTTATATGGTCAACTGAGTGTGGGGAAGCGGCATGCTGGGAACCGAAGCTTCGTTAGCATGACATAATCAAAGTGAGCCTACCACGTTCTAATCTTGATTGCAGGTAATGGGAATCGAAGGCGGTTGATCGGGGTGCATGGCGCGATCTGATCACGAAGGCAGTTGGCAAGGTGCAGAGAAGAAGCGGCAAGTGCGGAAGCGACAGGCGTCGATGGGTTGTATTCCATCGACATGAAGCGCATGGTGCTGTAACACATGCGGTCGAGTGTTTGAGTCAGGCAGGCCCGGTGAGCCTTGAGCGAGGCCGCTCGGGACCAACACCGAAACGACGACGAGTCCTGCTTAGAACATAAGCAGAAAGGGCGCAGCGTTGGTAGGTACGCTGCATTCGATTTGCTAACCGGGTGCTTGCGTGCTGAGTTTCTTTATTTCAGGTGGTGGGTTTGCTGTTTTGTCTTAATGCTTGTTTTCTTACCTCGTTTTAATGTCTGCCTAATTAATCTATTAAATTGCAAATGCCGCTTAAACGAAAGGTGCTTAACTTCGTTTCTTTTCTCCATTCCGCATACATTCTTCGATCTCTTTATATACCATTTTCAGTTTATCGCAGCCATGTTGATAATCCACTTACATCATGTGCTAATGTACCGGTATATCCGTATTGTGTTTTTGACCTATTATATTGGTTATTTCATTTTGTGTGATTGGCTGTTGCTTGACATCCCCGGTATGGCTGCACTTGATGTGCATGTTGACAAAGTGGCTACCTGTCTAGTACCCACCATCTCGTCTATATTGCGTTGCTGGAGGGGACGGGGTGCACGGTCCTCGTGGGCGTGCTAGGCACGAAGAGTGGTTCCATGCACTCAGTGTGGAGTGGACTACGGTCCAGCCACCGCCTTGTGTGCGCTTGATTCCCCAAATACAGTGTGCTTGTGTTTGCCTGTGAAGGAGTGTGGGCCGGCCCCGTTGACGAAACTTGCCTCCCATCCACATGCCTCCCGGTCTTATTCCTTCGCGTTTACACTGGATATGGGGTATGTGGTTGGAACTGTGGGTGGTGCAGCGCAAGCTACCCATAGTCCCTCTGTAGGCGCAGGCATCCTGTGGTTGTCCCCGTAGAGGTGACAGTGACAGGCAAATCCGGACACGGATGCCGCCAACCATGTTTAGTCGCACGCTTCTCTGAATAAGTATTATTGCGAGTTTTGTTAAGAGCACTGATGAAACAATACATAACGCGTGTATTTGCCACTCTTCGTCTTCTTACTGCGCTTTTTTGAAATCGACTGCATTGTGCGTGCTCTATCTGTTTCTCGTGCAAATAGAACCCACCGTCTTTCTATTTAGAGCAAATGATTAGGGGCACTAGACGACGGCAACATCCAGCGTGACTGCAGAGGACAGGATCAGCGTAAAGAAAAAAAGCGTCAGTGTGCCGCACTAACGCTTTGTTACCACGTGACCACCACCAGTCGCACCTGGATACTGCGAGGTTTCCCACATCGAAGCAGATTCGAAACAGTGAATTTCGGATTACACGGCGGACCCCTAGTACCAATCAGTTAGCGGCTCTTCCTAGACGAAAGCTGTCTGTTGCATTGGGAGCAGTTTGGCCGACATGAATTGAATTCAGATTTGTTGAGTCACGCGGGTTCTCATGACCTCAAATGGCGAGTGGAATACGCAATGCTGACGTATCCGCAAGGAAAGTAGGATCCGTCCCCACTGTTTCTACTGTTGCTGACAACTGTCTGAGTGATGATGAACCCAATGGATACATAACTTGCTGCTAACCACGTAATCACATAATGCTTCATCTCACTGTGGCGTCACAGAAATAACAACTGTACGTGATGTATAGGGGGAGGGGTAAGGATATCGAAGGAACATACTGTTGTACTTCCGCTGAGAGCACGGACAGCCGAGGTGTTGATTGAATCGCCGAGCTTGGCGATTTGGTTGCATGTGTTTCGTTACCAACCGAGGTGAAATCACCCAGTGTTTTACTTTGTAGCGGACAATCTCTTGGTCTGTGATCGATGGACCAGTCAGCACATCCACTGCAGTTGGCAACTATATTCCGATGTTGCTATTTGAATCACGATCCAGCCATTTCCCAAATCAGAAGAAAAACGCCTCAACGATGCCCTTAATTGAGCCCCAGTACGCAAACGTTGTTCACAGTCAAAATAACTCCGATTGTATAACTCAATACAAATGACCTAGAGGAATTTTTCGTGCAACGAAAGTTGCCAGACGCCGATAAATGCTCTCATTGACTGTACTGTCATTGGCCTACCCTAACGCAAAAGCGCTCCTGCAGACTGCTTTTTTGGCCACTGGTCTACCGGAACGGAAACGGACTTGAATTGCTTTTATGAACAAACTACCCTAACGATTGCTAGTCTCAATCTCGCGTGCGAGCTCTTCCACTCTTACTAACTGTTATCGCTTCTATTAAACAAGGTGCGTTCAACAAACCGGACTGAATCAAGTGGCCGGAACCTAGGCATGGTTCTCAGCCCCCTCTTCTGTTGGGACCATTTTGTAGGAAAGGTTTCAGGTGATGGTCACCATCTTGAGTGTAATGAGTCATCTTCGACTTCGTCTTTAGTCAGTTTGCGATTGCTCGCTGTGAATATGAATGGATATTCTGGCGATGTTCGCTTTACTCTCTAAACGGATGATTATTTAGCGGAAACGAACGGGATCATTTCGCTCATTTAGACAACTACATTAGCGACGACGAGTGCGCGTGACTGCGAAACTTATTTAACATGTTGCAAAATCTAAAATCGCATTTTTGTACGTGCGATATCTGTGGCATCGGAACGCGATTTCGCTCGGTCTGGAAGCCATTGTGTCATGTCACGGTGGGGGAAGTTTTAACCTATAGAAGTGGGATTTGGCTCCTTCGGTATTAGAATCCGATGTGTTTTGCTCAACGTTAATTATGGAGCGATACCCGTGTCGGGTGGCAACAGTGTGTCCACACGGATGTGTTGGCGAACACTGGGAAGCGGAAGTCAGCTCAATTAGTGAACACTTATCCGGAGTAGGTTCCAGATCAGATAGTTTTTCACATGCCCGGAAAAACAGTAGACGGCCGTTTCGACGTGCGGGGTCTCGTCAGCAGTGCGCATCTCTCCAGCGACTTGCATCACCAACCAGCAGCTGATGCCACCGAGCCATGGAAGACAACAGCGGACCGTCATGATTTACAAGGTGAGATATAACGCGTCTTATCCTCCACTGGCATGCAGAGGACAGTGTTGGTCCCGAAAGGTACGACTTTCTCGGAGCAAACAGACGAACCTCAGGTTAGGCACGTCCTAAGTGCGCCCACTCATCGTTTATCGCAGAACTTCAGCTGATTTGGCAACGGGATATGTAATCGTTGAAGACTGAGCAGAGTGCTTTTGGTCCTTTCCACTCTTAACTTTGTGTTCCATTCGAGACCAGCGGTGCGTTTGTTATAGTCTCGAAGCGGACGCACAGCTCATTCAAATTTTATGTGACGTTAATTTCCCTGTGGAATTAGTTTGATTACGACGCGGTACAGTGGAAACCGCCATATTCAGCTGTTGACAAGGCGCGTTGATTCTGGAAGTCTGCTTTAAGGTCTTTAGATTTTACACAGGTACCTCATTCACTCCTCCCATTATTCATCGTTCCCTAGGTTGTCATTTTCAAAGAGCCTTTGCCCTGTTACCTGTGATGATGTTCTCAAGCAAATAGGTAAACATACTGGGTATAGCAGCTTACCGCAGCAATGACATCTTACCGCGATTGATCCCCGGTTTTGTATTACAGTTACCCTATGGATAAGTTTCATTTAGAATTTATACACCATATGTTTTTCTGTGATCACTGTTCTCGTTCGCTTGCAGAAGACGCGTCTGACTTCGGAACAGAGACAAACCTTCGGTACGCTAGTTGACCAAAGGTTTCGGCAGTGGCTTTCGGAGTCTGGGAATTTGCGGCAACTGCAGCTACTGGAGCTAAGCACAAGTCACTGTGCCTTACCGCAGCCTGGAAACATCATCGATCAATCAGCTGAAACAGGAACGATCCCTCCAACTGGGTTTCCTAACACAGCTCCAGGGCAGAAGGTCACTCGGCCGAATTCTGCAACGATCAAAGCCAGTGGCGTCGTGGGTCGGAATGACCGAACTCGCTCTGGCCTAGCGTGTGACAATCGAGTGTTGAATGGGACATGTACCTCGTGAAGATGACCACCCGCAAATGCATTAGTTTGGTATTCAGATAATTGTACATTCCACTGGAGTGCCGATAAGTGCTTGTCACTTTCGTCCCTCCGACGCCTCGCTGTGATGGTTCGCGTTTATTCCCGCGCATTCCATTCAACGCACGCAAACGTACTTCGACCAGCCGTCTTGTGCATTCAGACACAGTGGACCCGTCAGCTTCATTTTGTCTTCTGTTTGGAGCCGAGCAACTTGGGATCTGTCCAGTTTGTTTCTTCGATAGCATATGACCATACCTTACTGTACTCTCGATCTCTTTATTTGGTTTAGAAAAAACAGTTCATGGAACTGATTCTCTATGTTTCCCTTTTTTCGAACCGTTCTGATTTTACTGTTTCCACCGTCACCTGGTGTCCGCTACCCGTTGATTCTCAAATGGAACGTAGTAGGCGGCCATTTGAATTCCTTTATCTTTGTTCCACCAAGCGACACTGAGCATTGCTCCATCAATTCTAACCCGATTCAACACACCTAGGCTGTACAAACGATTGTCCCTCAGTTACCCAGAGGGAATCACTACCACCCTTTTTCCGAAGAGACTCCAGGTCCCAAGACCATTCCATGGTACGCAGTATTAAAACATTCGATCGGTACGGCATAATAGTGTCAGCGATACACCACTCCGTTCGAATGCGTCGCAGCCATGTAGCCGTAAGCGGTTGCTCGCGGGCACACAAATCTGGAGCGCGCAGAGGTTGCAAGCTAAGTTCCCGTACCTCCTGTGCACCATGAGACAGTCACTTCTGTGTTGCTACAATTATGGTGAGAGCGTGCTTTAGATATTCTTTCAACAGGCAACTTTGCTGTTTTCCACCTCAGGTTTCAACCTGACTCGTAACTGAACAATGGGTTGGCCACAGTCACGAGGCATGTCGCAGGAATGGTTGCACAACAGTGCTTTGTATCAACGCTTCACTGCTCACTCAAGAGAAATAGAAGTGAAGAGGAGGGGATGTTGTGTGAGATCTAACTGCTCTTGATAATAGTTCATGGTCAATGTGTGGACACAAACAGGTGCTTACTGTGCTAAGGGGGACAACGGTGAGGCAGCTTTCTTGCGGCGCTCATCGCCTAGGATCATAGTTAACCGTACAGTACAGGGAACCCAGCACCATATACACAGGGAGTCTGGTCAGGAAATAATTTTAAGCGCGACACTGGTGTCGATGAGAGCAGTGTCCCGTACTGTCTCAAGACAGAGTTGCAGTGGGTCGCGTGGACTCCAGTTTGGGGTACAAAACGGACCAATCTCATCCGGATTAATGAGTACAGGCTCCATTCCCCGCTATCAAGTTAATTGTTCTCCCTCCGTCCCACAAGCCCTGCGCCCTCCGCGACGAGCGAGCATGTGCGCCCATACCTAACCGACTAATTCTATCATCACCTAGTACTCTTTGTGAGAACACGCTGGTGCCACTCCACGCAAGTGGTGCTCCGTAGACAGCATCAGTGAAAGACCTGATGGCACTTGACCTTTTCAGGTTATGTCCAGAAAGAATGCTTGGCGCCAGTAGTATTGCGCCAAATATAAGTAGTGTGGTGCGAACGCGAAAACCACGGATCACTCCAAAGGCCTGCCACAAGATGCACACCTAGCGACCGCAGACACAGGAGGAACCAGTGTTTAGTCAAGATAGTCGAATGGTGTCCTAATATACAAAGTCGGAATATCTTGTGGTCATCTTGTTCACATTAAGGACTTTTCCGCGTCGTTCGAATTTCTGCAAATTGACCAGTCGCTTCCGATTCCCCCGTCAAAGATAAGTGCCAACAAATGACATGGTAGCTCTGCGAACACATCTTGCGCGAAGCACACGTAGAACTGCTTAAGAGACCTTGACAGTGGTACCTCGCGATTGTCGAACGAAAAAACATACACACATTCCGAGAAGAGCAATGTCCCCCCCTCGAGCGGGAACTCTACACATGCATCATAGAACTTCATAAGGGGAATGCACTGCAATGGGGTCCTTGGGTAATATTGGATAGGACTGCGGAAATGGGGCAACACTGGCGAAAGCCATGTGTTGTATGAAGTGTCCGCTCATTAGTCACGGACCTCGAAGATCATCAGCTCGCGCAGAAAGTCCGTGCAATTATGACGGATGGATTTCACAGTGATCTAGTGCCCGCCAGATTTCGTTTATTCAGCCCATGCGGCCGACAGTCCATTGCACAACTCGTTACTTACACTTTTAACCCTTGATCTTGGCTTCTCACATCTCCGTTGGCAGGCAGTACAAGTTTGCCTAATTTACGCGGCAGGTGCTGGTGCTGTCGACCACATTGAATTGTGGGATTCACATGGCAAAAGCACACTGATCCTCATCGGAAAATAAGCGCTGTTTAGCGCAAGGCAGTTGCTCACTACTGGCAATTGTCAGTGGTGCTCAGCTGTTACCCAATGTGGGTAATGCAATACGATTAACTTGATATACCTTAGGCAGCACCCTCGCGACGCATGCTTGGATTCGTTTCAAATAATAACTTAGATGAACGCTCTAGCATATTATTCTTGTAAAAGTCCGAGGATGCTCTTTTTGAACGATTACAAGGTGCTCCGTTAACTCCAACATGCTCGACTCTTTTCTACGACCATGTTTTTTATTTGTGATTCTCTGCAGTGGTATCCGGAAAAGTACACCAGACGACCGTCTGGTTCTACCGGGGCCCGTCAATAGCACGAACCCTCTGGTTCCACTAGAAGCCGAACCCGTGACTTCTCAACGCCAGCTGATTATGCTACTGCGCTACCAGGGACGGTGACGGACCGTTATTATATGCTAGCTAAACGCAACACAGCGCGGTCCACTCTCCACTGCCATACAAGTTACGAACTTTGCAGAGAACAGGGTTAGCACGACTCACAGTATAGTATCATGCAGGACATAGCGCTTAAAAGCTGATTACTCGTAGTGTTCGTTGTGGATTCCCTCTGCTGACGAGTCCAGTTGGGACGAAACAGCTGTCTGGTGGCTTTCCGACGAGTCCTCAATAAATTGCCTCAAGAATCCCCTACTCACGAGTAATCGATCACTTCTGCTTATCATACTGGATATCGGCCCATGAATCATTGGTGAAATGCATCGGATTTCCGAGGGTTATCCTTACACTATTCGATATCACCTTGGCAGCTTACATGCCACCTCGATTGGTCGCGGCTTGCAAAGGAAGTCGTTGCTCTGGCGGCCATCTCTGTCCTCATAACACGCAAGACAGTGGAGGATGAGCCGCGCCATACCGTAGTTAGATATCAGTCATTGCGGTCCGCTGCCGTCACCCATGGCTCAGAGGCATAAGTCGCTGACTCGTAAAAGTAAGGTCGTGGGTTCGAATCCGGCGGGTGCGCGCTACTGACGAGTCCCAACAGGACGAAACGGCTGTCTAGCGCTTTTCTGGATCCGTGGTGGCTGTCTGCCTGAGTCTAGTTGCCACGTATCGTAACGGAAATTCCAATCATACTGTCACCGCTGGGCGCGAGCCGTTATAGATGCTAAGTAATGTGGTGATTTCGAAACAAACTGCAATCGAGTTCATGAATATGTGCACACAGTCTATCTTTATCGCGACTTTCAGTTGGTGCTTGTTCTGAACAAAACACCCCACGACAGGCTGTGTTTTTGACTTCTCCAGATTGATAGCCGACACCCCGATTATTAGGCCAATGAGTTCCGGGAACAACGCTTTGGATAACGATTAGGAATGCACTGTTTGGTTTTGAAGCGTCTACTGCACTGCGGTGTACACGAGGCTAGACGTCATAATGAATGTCCCCCGGTTCCGCTCCAGGCTCCGGCCATTCCCACTTGAACAAAAAAGTAATCGAAAGGGAAGCCGAACGTAGAGTATACTGATTGAAACAATCATCCCTGGAAGTGTCTCCATTTCGGATGCGTTCCTAGTGGTAGAACTAATCCATGTGAGTCGTGATCCAACACATGGTGCGCACTCCATAACCAACCAAGGAATCGGCTATGAAGTTTATTTGAAGATGACTTTATGGCTCGCACAGTATAAACTGTGTTCATTTACAAGCTCATAACGTCCACGTTTTCACGGGTGCAGTGCGTAAATTACCAGTCCGATGGGAGAGGGGCCCTACAAAATATAGGACACAAACGTTTTCCGACCAATCTCGTCACTCTGACATTCTGTTCGGTACAACTTTTTTTACAGAGCCAGATGAAGCATGGGTGATGGAAAATATCACCATCGTCCCATGGGCAGTTTGAAACTGTAGGCACATAGTTGAGTGGTGTAAACCATTCCTCAGAGTTAACTGCATCCATAATACAGTCAAATTGCATCCAGCGTAAGTGAGTGCATGCAGGCGTGCACGGTTCATTGGGTGGCCAATCAACCAATAGTAAATCGTGCGAGAGTATTGGCTGATTGGGAGTAGCCAATCAACGGACAGCACGCGTTTACATGCGTGCACTCACGTTGGACACAATTTAATTGAGGTGCGAACCATTTTTAGTGACTTACAGGGAAGCACGGTTTCTTTGCGGATGCAATTGGCTGAGGAATGGTATAGATTGCCGATCTGAAGGAGCACTGAGGATCTGCACACCGTAGGTCGCTTCCATACGGACTTCGAACTGCGTGTTACTCCGCTGGTGGTAGCCCGTATGATTATCACTACTGTAGCGGTATGGATCAAGAAAACTACATCAATCCATTTCGGGTGGATGTGTGTGTGTGTGAAAAGTGGCAGTTCCGTTTACAAAATCGCACCGGTTTATTTTGGGCGAGCCAACGTAATGTAACACAAAATCTATAAGTGGAATTTCGGCTCATTAGCCAGCGCGATAGATGAGTCTGTCACCAACGGATACCGGGGTTCCTGACGAGTTGAGCATCACTGATGAGGTTTTCGGATCCACCATAAATCGATCCGAAGGGTCGATTACCCTGAGACAATCCGCTGGATAGGGCGGAATTCGGAATGGATCGGATTCAGGATTGACAAATCGGTAGAAAACCAGACTCCGCAGCTCTGAAAAAGAGCATTGCATTTAGTTATCCAATAAGATTGGATAAAACGAGTTAAACAGTGCAACAGAAAAACAGTACGTGTGTTGATTTTTCGATTACCAAACATATATGATATGATCGAAAAACCAGAGTTTGATTCAGTGCCACAAAGACGAGTCAAGGGTATGTGGACGGAGGTTGAATACAGTTCACGTCAGTCGTGTCACGAGCCGCTCGAGAACAAGCCATCATGGAAGTCTGCGAACCAAACCTGCTCTTGAGGGGATACAAGCTTACCTCGTATATAGTATTGGCGAGAAGCCTCTGGCCCATCCACGTACGACATGAGGGCAACTTCGAAAATTCCACTCTGACAATTCGCCAGTCGATGCCGTTCCTTCTTTCTTTGGTATGCGCGACAACACAAAAAACGCAGTGTGATGTAGCGAAATGTCGAACTGGCTAATTAAAATGATACAAATGGTATCAGCAGTACGTCTCACTGATGCGCGACCCCAAGTGGACGCGATATCGAAATTGAAAATGTGTATCGCAATCTCTTCGCACAAATGATAAAACACACAGACGTTGTGACACAGGTTGCCCGCGACCCTATGGTGTGTATGGTGCTCCCACCAGTAATCTTTGCGTCCCAAAGCCCATGACACCGTTATATGATTGTTATATTTCCTGACGAGAACATAACTAGTCTTGAAGTGAAGTGTTATATGGAACGCATGCGCACCCCACAAGAACGCACAGAAGCGAAACTACCCGCTTTTATATGCTGGTGCACATCATTTGACCAATCTTCATGTTTACAAGAATTCACTCTTTTTCCGATCAGCTTCGGCAATGAATTCACTTTTTCCAGCCAGTTAATGTTTCCGAAATGTTCCGTTTACATTCTGTAGATCCACTTGTTTAGGCTAACGCTATCCTAGTTGAGTTTACGCATCCTGTACTATCTAAAAACCATACATGCCACGATATGGAAGTGAGGCTAGGCAAAGCTGTATATGCTCTTTGCTGGGCCAATAAAAGCACCTGCTGCAAGGAGTTTGTCAACTTCTAGCTCTCATTTTCTCTCTAAGCCGTGTAGACGCGTGATAGGGTCGCGTTCCGTCTAGTCACTCGTTTCAACTTGTGCTTAGGAAATGTTTAGCGACTAAGTCTTACTTACTTGATCGCAAGCCGCCTCGACTAGGAGCCATTACGATCAGTCTGTTGCAATGAGTGGGCAACACCTAAGGTGTTTTAAATCCCAAGCATTTAATCGGTCCAGCTCTGTATTAGTATGGGTGAATGCAGGATATTTTTCGCTGACCCGTAGCCTTAACCCTTTAATGCCTGCATGGAGTATTTGCAGTCTGAAAGCGAAGGCTTGCTGATTTCCCTTTCAAATCACTCCTCTGTATTGGCGTTCAAAAGACGATTTTGTGGTCAAACAGAAGTATAGACAATCGAACTAAACTGTAAATATCTGTTCTATCAAGAGGATGTAATCTTAATAGGTAAAACTTTGTGAAAACAAGTTGGTGTAAAATTTTCCAGTATGTTGCCTACACAGGCAACAGTATGCAGTAACGGGTGAAGGATCGCAAGCCTGCCCTGTAATTTGAAAGCGCGAGTTCGAGCCTGTGTAGCTGCCGGGCGACTGTTGGTCGTTGGGCAGCAGCGAAACGTCGATAATGCTTACCGACATACTGCCGATGCCTTGCCTTGAAAGGATATTTCCATAGCCCGAGTTCAAATTCATTTCGGGGACGGTAGGCAAGCACCATTGGCTTCAGTGGACACAGTTCATGCAGTTCAAAGGTCCCAGATGAATGAGACCTCAAATTGGAGCAAGAAAACAGCATCCAAGATTGGTTTGTACCCACTCGATTGCATTGCCATCGATAAACACGTGAAATAACCCGCCATAGATGCGTCCAGATCCGGAAAAGTAACCTTAATGTTACCGGACAGGTTCACTTAAAACGCTTGATCTGCCTGGGAGCAACAGGTACGGTGCCAACAAAAAGTCAGTCCAAAGTGGGATGGAGTTACGTACGGTTCGATGACTAGCTGTGTGACCCTTGTGTTATCTGGGACAGCATCTGTCGGCCGGTTCGAAAGCTCATTCTCGAACGCGGACTAAGAACCAGTGAGACAGTACGAGGGGGACAAACACCCCGCAAAGAACTGAATTGGACACATTCTACCAGGTAAATTTTTCTGACTAAATGATTTCCCAACATATCGTAGGTTTTAGACACTTCTTCCAGGAGTAATTTGTTATTAAATTAGTTTGAAAAACGCGAGCGCTTCGCCAGAAACGCCTGTTTAATTAGAGGAGCTGGACAACGTATCGACATGAGGCTATCTTCTAAGTTCAACACGGCAGAGTGACGCTATCCAAGTTCAACGTTGCGATATAGATGATGTAAAATACCGGAAAGCATGTGTGCCACGCACACGGGGTGGCGGCGGTGATGCAGCCACTTTTTTAAAGTCTAACGATGTCACGAGGGTGGCCAGCAGCCTCATGGAGCTAGCAATCCAGCTAGTCGCATCAAATGGTATAGAGTGCGTCCAGATCTGGTGTATCAGGTGGGGAAATGCGGCACGCACGTGACACCACGCTCTCTGGTGTAAATGTGGTCAAAATGAAGCGGCAGCTATATATGTAATGCTCCCTAGGTTGCTGAATTAGCCGGCATTGCTGCCTCTTTCATTGTGCGCAAGTTACCGGTATAAGACGACCAACATATTGAGACGCAACAATCACCATTCAAAGCGGTTATTCGGTAGGACTATCTGAACAGATGAATCGAGTGCGGCATCTAAAGCTTCGAGGAGATTGCTGCGCGCATAACATCGCGAAGACAGCGCCACCTCAAGTTATACATCAGTGATAGAGTGTGCAACGCCCCAATGTAACCATTATCAGTACAAAGAACAAGTAATGTCACCAAACAGTAAAGAAACTTGCAGATTGGTCGCATCCAACCATAGGGCTGAATATTTGATCAGTTTAGTTATCGTACAGCCACATTACGTATTGCAAAAGTCAGAACTGCCTTGCTGCATCTGTGACATATGTGGCGTGAGAACGGAGAATCCCTCGGTCTGAAACGCTGTGGTAACAAGGCCGCAGTGAAGGCCCTCCTAATATGTGCCGGCGGTAGCTTTAATGACCACAAAAATGCCTTGTAATCTGAGAGCGCGGGTTCGAGCGAGCCTAGGGACCGGGCGACCCTCGCAGTATCCTTAGACCATGTGCGACTGGTGGCGGTTGCATGGCGTCGGTGCGCAGTACCGACGCTGATGCCGTCCTACTCTATGGTAGTGAAACTTGACTATTTCCGTCTGAGAATCGGAGGTGCATTCAAATCGTTGACCACCGTTATCTGCGAAGTATTTCTGGTGTCGGATGGCACCAGGATGTCCGCAACAATGATGTGCACAGACAAGTGCTAGGAAGTGATAATCAGGCCAGTTCCTTAGAACAGCAGATACCAATGATTAAGTCAACAGTCTGGCCACGTACTACTAATGCGCGGTCACCGCCTACCGAGGAAGGCTTTGTTTGGTTCGCCAGATGTACAACCCGTCCGGGAAATGTCTACCGATTTTCATTGATGCACCGTAAATTGCCGCACGTTACGCGCCCTGAGAAAACCCCGAGGAATTCTAACGGCAGTCCGGATATCCAATCGGATCTCACACGATGCACACAATCGCGGCGTCTGTCTACCACAAATTCCACGGCACTGCATATTTTCCCGCGACGAGGCGCAGACTACCCACATGTGAACGATCTGGTCTGTGTTTGAGGTCACATGTTTCATGGAAGAGTGGATGTCTGCGGGCTCTGTACAGACCCAAGTTTAGCCGTAGTACTGAAGTAACCGTTACATGCAGATCTACTGTGGTAAAAAAAGTTGGTTCAAATCGGATGACCGTGCTGGGAAGGGGCCCTCCACGACCGATCCAATGTTGGCCGAATTCCTTGCAGAGATATTCTGGCACCGACTGAACATAATGTGCTGGTGCACCATCAAGCTGCAACTACTATATGGTACTGCGAACTCCATCCACCACCAACTGTGGCAGTATGCAAGTCTGGAGCAATTCCTTGTACGACGATGCTAGCAAAAGTAAGGGTTGAGTAATATAAAACAACTTACCGGTCACGTTCCTGGAAAAGAAAAATGGTCCAACGATTTTCTGACCAGTAATTCCAGCCCAGACCATCAGCTTGGCGCTATGCTGAATACGTGACGCTGTGTATCTGCGTGGATTTGAACTAGCCCAGAAATGTTGTTTGTCCGTTCCATGCAAATGGAAAACGGACTCATCCGTAAACATTACGGAGTGAATGCACATGTGATCTAAAAGCCAACGGGAAAATGTATGCCGTGTATCCTGAACCTGGAGTGTACGAAGCCGACGAATATTGCGTTCTTTCAAAATCTTCTGAACCGCGTAACGGGTGATGTCACAATGCTGCGCGATTCCAAGTATGCTAACATCCTACTTCTCAGACACTTCACGTGCAACGTTGCAAAATCTGCAGCTGGATGTTTTTCTCTGGGGATAATTGAAACGAAGGGCTTATAGAAACAAGCCGATTTCTATCGAGCAATTGCAGCAGAAGATTGTGAATGAATGCCACGCTATCACCACTGTGATGTTGCAGAAAGTGCCTGCTAACTGTATCAAGCGATTTCCGTACTGTAGTCAGAATGCATATGGACACTTTCGTCATCACCTTCCATGATATCTATGTCCGTCGAACCCTGCTTCTGTAAATATAGGTATCATCGATTGCACATGACTTGAGGACTAAATCGGTCTCCAGACGAATGGTGCCAATGATGGGTCGGGGCGAACTTAATTTTATGGGTATTGCCTGCTTCTTCAGCAGTTTGCGCCACGCTGAACGCCGTGATAATTTGGGGGTATCCGATGCGTAGATTAGAACCTACATATTGAAGCCGTTGGTGCAAATGTTCTCCAATCCACACCGGAGCC